CCTGGGCGTGCACGCTCGGCCGGCGGCGGGGGAAACACCGCGGCGCGCACCCCGCGGTCCCCGCCGCACGATGGGTCTCGCTCTCGCCGGTCGTGGTCTCTCGCTCGCGCCCCCAATCCCCACCACCTGCGTGCGGCCGTACAGCCGGAACGCCACCTCGCGCGCGCCGGCAGCCGCTCTCTGCGGACCTCCGCCGCCGATCAGTCCGTATACGTACTGCGCGCCGGCCGCTATGTGAACGGTTCACGCGCGTGTGTGTGACTTGTGTGATTTTTTTTTCTCCCAGAACGCTGCGACCGCCGCAGAACATTACCGCCGTAGTACACCTATGACACTACGCGTCGTCGGTACGATTATAATATATTTTATTCGTTCGCAAAGCATGCGCCACTACACGATACGACAATAATAATAGTTATATTTTAGTCGTGTTCGTTTGTCATTTTTTTTAGTTTTTTAAATTTTTTTTTTTACGTTTTTTCGCTTTTAACGCCGCGCGCGCTTGTCATATCCGAGAGAGTCGGCGCGACGCGTCGCGATAAGGATTTTTCTCGTCCCGGTTTCGTGGTGAGAACCGAACGATAAAATATAACAATAATAACAATTATTGTATATTTTTATTGTTTTTGCGGTGAAAAAAAATCGCAAGTTTCCGAGGACGTCGTCGTCGCGTGAAAAAAGTGCGCGCGCGCCGCGCGTACCCACCGCACACGCGTGCGGTGAAACAGTGAAATTTTTTTTTTCTTCATAGACCAGTGCACGAAAAACGTTCGCAATTACGGACCTAACGATCTACCCGCGCAGTGTTCGGGGCGCGTCGGTTGAATGTGATTGGAAAGCGCGGGTGATGGCCACCACGTACCTGCCGGTGGGCAGTGGCGGCGGCGGCGGTGGCAACGGCCCCGGCTCCGGTGACCTGGACGGCATGGGCGGCATGTCGGTGGTCAACCAGCCGGGCGGCCCGTACCAGCAGCCGTCACCGTCACCGCGTGGCGGCAACGGCCAAGACCACCCGGCCGGCGAGCTGAAGTACATGCCTCCCGGTCAGCACCACCATCACCACCACCATCACCATCAAGTTCCTACGTCCCCGTCGCCGGTGTCGCTGTCGGCCGCGGCCAGTTGGGTGGACCCGTGGGCCGCGTCCATGAGCATGCACCAACACCATCCACACCACCCGCACCACCCGCACCAGGGACTGGACATCAAACCGCCGCCAGACATGCGAGCCGTGACCGGCGGCGGTGGTGGAGGCGGTGGCGGCGGAGGCGGTGGCGGTGGAGGTGCGCAGTCCTGGCACACGGGACCGCCGCCGCCTGTCGTCTCGGCCGGCCACTATAACGGCAGCGGGTCCGGGTCGCCGCAACTCGGCCACCACGGCGCGTACCACGTGATGAACGGCATGCTTGGCCACACGCACCCGGCCGTCCAGATGCACGGCCACAGCCCGTCTTACCCGCAGCAGCACGATCCGCAATCGCCCGGCGGCGAGGAGGACGCGCCCACGTCCGACGACCTCGAGGCGTTCGCCAAGCAGTTCAAACAACGCCGGATTAAGCTGGGCTTCACGCAGGCTGACGTGGGCCTGGCGCTTGGCACGCTCTACGGGAACGTGTTCTCGCAGACCACCATATGCCGGTTCGAGGCGCTGCAGCTGTCGTTTAAGAACATGTGCAAGCTCAAGCCGCTGCTGCAAAAGTGGCTGGAGGAGGCGGACTCGACGACGGGCTCGCCGACCAGCATCGACAAGATCGCGGCGCAGGGTCGCAAGCGCAAGAAACGCACTAGCATCGAGGTGTCCGTCAAGGGGGCCCTGGAGCAGCACTTCCACAAGCAGCCCAAGCCGTCCGCGCAGGAGATCACATCGCTGGCCGACTCGTTGCAGCTGGAGAAGGAAGTGGTGCGCGTGTGGTTCTGCAACCGGCGGCAGAAGGAGAAACGCATGACGCCGCCGAACACCATGGGCGGCCCGCAAGACGGCAATGGTATGATGGACGGCGGCCTGGGCGGCGGCGGTGGTGGCCCGATGGGCCACGGCGGCCTGCACCAGGCCTACCATCATCAGGACCACGTTATGCACGGCTCGCCGATGGGACCGCACTCGCACTCTCACAGCCCGCCGATGCTCTCGCCGATCGGCAACCATCAGTCGCTTGCGGCCCATTAACGTTTCGCCCAGTGGGACGTTGAGTACTCACGGCACCTGGCTAAGATGCAGCAACATCAGCAGCAACACCAGGAATGCACGTAGTACTGTTGTTTACTGTTTCGAACAACGTCTCGCTGAGGGCGATTTAAAAAAAAATAATTATACGTGTGTACGTCGCGTAGCAGCAACAGCAACAGCAACGGCAACAGCACCAGCAGCATACGCACGAAAAGCGTGTGCGTGGTTTTCCCGGTATGTCATTATATCTTGGAAATCGCGTTCGACTGCGCGCTGTATGTGTCGCTGCACCGCGATGGCACATTATATATTATTTTTACCAATTCGACTATACATAAATATATATAAATAAAATATTAATATTAATTTACAAACGCGGATCGTATATATTATATTGATGATGATTATAATATTGTATGAAATATATGATATAATAATAATAATTATTATTATTATTTTAATAATATTATAATATTGTAAAAGTAGTGCTCGCCGTAAACTGCACTGCAAAAATCGCGTACGACGGCCGGAGCGCATAACAAACAACATTGCCTATATATAATACATTATATGAAAATATATTTTCCGTAAACATTATTATTTTTTTTTTTTTCCAATCGTTATTAAATATATAATATATGTGTATATAATAATTGTTATTATATTATATACGCGTACGGTATAACGATGATAAGACGATGTCGATGACGATGATGATAATAATAATGAATAACGAATGATGATAATGAAGATGATAACGAAGACCATCGGCACCTACCCTGCACAATATTATTTGTATAAAAATACAAAACGACGGCGAGATGAAGACTTACGACCGACGAGCGCAGAATCGTCTTCGGACGACGTCGTGGCGGCGAGACCCTATATTGTGTACCAGATTAGTCACCGAGTACGAGAACAGTCACCGAGTACGAAAAGTCACCGAGTACGGGAGAATTCACCGAGTACGAGAGAAGTCACCGAGCACGAGTAGTCATCGCCGGGCAAGTACCTACAGGACGGACCAGAGCCATCGATCGACACTGTCTTCTATCGCACTGTGATATATATCGATTAATTCTTTTAAGTTTGTTTTTTTCCGTCTTAATTATCTTCCCCGGACAATTAGTAGGTACATTATTATACCTAATAGTATATAACTTCTCAGACATGTATACGCACACACCCCCTCACACCCACACATACCGCGGTCCAGGTACTGTGGTTAGCCCATTATTGTTGTAGGCATTTTTTCCCGGTTTTCCGAAAAAATTCGGCACGACATCCGAGGCACCATGCCCTCCCCCCCTAAACCACTCGAGGTACTCTATACACCTAAAGTCAGACGCCTCAAACCGCACTGAAAAACAATCGATCTCATCACACATATACCTGCACAATATTATATTATATTAATAGGTGTAATATACATAAATAAACGCGGAATGAAAATTATATAAAACAACGGTAATGGCAGCCTCAAACTTTATTCCGTTTACAAGACATTTAATAAGCTTAATAATATAATATTTGCAGGGGTGCTGTTCCGTAAATTGGGTTTTTCGTGGGTCTTCCTTTGTATTACAAGTTCCTCGCCGGTTGTGCACGGCTGCCGCAGTTTTCCAAAACACTTGTTCGTCGCTCGTTTACCTCCATATACCTCTCGAGCATGATGTAATAAAAAATACACTTATATATACATGATATAGGCTCCCCAAAATTTCGTCATACCCACATATACCTGCAGAGGTACTTTTAGGTGGTACATCGCGTAAACTTACTAAAATATTACATCCTTTCGGTCCATCTGCAGCCGGCTCATACCTGTACCACACGCATATATCATAATATAATATATATATATATATATATGCTACATACCAAATATTATAAATAAAATATTATATTATATATATAAATTATTATCATGTGTATATATATATATATATGAGCCTAGCTATGTATACTCGACGTACATAGGTACCTATGTATACGATAGTAATAGTAATAATAATAATATTCGAAAACCGGTTCGTTTCGAACGATTCATAATTTTTGTCCATATTTTTTATTTTTCTCCCGCCGCACCGTTCGGTCGCTCTCGCTCACTCCTTTTTATTCGTGATTTATGTGACGGATGAAAAAAAAAACCGAAAAAGGTAATAATAAAATTACCCCGAAAATATAATAATAATAATAGTAATAATATATATACATAACCCGGCCGGCAGCATAGTATATAATATAATATAATATAATAAATATATATATATGTATGTACACACATACGTGTACATCATACCCGCCGACATATATTTCGTGTGTAATATATAATATAATATTATTATTATTATTATGTGTGTGCAAGTGCGTTCACGACGCTTTTTTTCCTATACATAATATTGTTATGTACACTTTTTCTTCGTCTTCTTCTCCTTCTTGTTCATTTTTTTACGATCACCCTCCAAATATATTATCGGTCCGCGTATATAGGTATATATAAACGTTATATTAATATAAAATAGCATATTATCCGAATAAATCAACCCGCCGCCGCCGCCGCCGCCGTACCTGCCTTTATATAGACAATAATAATAAATTTAAACTCTGAAGATAAATTTCTATTCCGTTACATTACACGGGTTACAAGACGTGTGTGTATGCATGTGTGCAGCAAGGTATATAACAATATAATATATAATACATGAATAGGTTTAATAATGAGTCTTAAGATAATAATTATAATATATATGTGTATAAGCACCGGCACAAGTTTTGGCGAAATGTCCAAATATGTGCAAGAAGTAAATATACCTATAAAGGTACATTATACATTTAATATAAATAATTAGGTATACAGAGTGTTTCGGTCGATATGCACATATATATTATGTTTTATACTATACACAATATATTATTATTGATGACCTATATATACGGGATATTATGTGTTTCCACCGTGCGCTTTTGTATTTTGTAACGAATTTATCGAAAAATATTATTATTATTACTATTATTATAAGTGTATATACTTACCTGTATGTACGTACGCGCATAATGTAATAATGTACAATATTATTGTGTCGTAGGTGTGTGTATACGCTGTTTATCTCATTTTTTGATTATAATTTATTATTATTATTTTATTTTTTTTTTTTGTTATTTTTAACGATTTATTTTTAGTTGTAATAATCGCATATATCTACAATATAATATATATATATAATACACCCTCAAGTGTTGATCGATAAATTTCAAAATTGTTATCCAATAGCGAAAATTTTTTTTTCTTTCAAAAAACACTCAATTAGTCGTTAATGTTCGAACATAATATAATTGATGCTATATTATTATTATTATTATTTATTTTTAAAAAGAAAAGGAAAGAAAAGACGGGAAAATAATAATCGTAATATTATAAAAATATACGCATACATGTATACATTTAGCCGATAACAAAAAAAAGTAAATTAAGGTACAAGATCTTTTTTGTAAATACGAAAATAGATGTGTAAATAAAACTGTGTAGTTAGATGAATATATTATCATTCACGAAATATATAGAGAAAATAATAAAATACACTTTTGGAACGTGTAATTTTTGTTTGTTCGTATATATAATATTATGTTTTTAATAAAAAATAAATTTAAAAAAAACAATTGTGGAATTAAGTCAAAAAAACATTATCTGTTGATGTTTTTTTTTATTTATTAAATTTATATGTGTTGTATAAAAAAAAAATGGGATATAAAAACGATTTGAAATAAAAATTTGAAAACAGAAAAACCAAAGGAATTTTTTATCAAAAGTTGTGCTTCTTACACAAGTGCCTATATATCATATTATTACAATTATTTATTGTGTGTATTTCAGCCATGCCTGCAATAGGTACTACACAATAAAACATTACTATATATTGTATACATTATAATAATATGCATTGATCGAAGTCGATCTACGGTCGTTCGTTCCCTGCTTTATATGGTCTTAAAAAAATAAGATTATATTATTGTACCGCAGCTACTATATACTAGGCATGTGGTTATTTGGTAAAATACGATGTGTTTCTTAGGTAAAGGTATTATGTGTAGATCGACACGTGGAATTGTACATATAATGGCATATAATTTATAATAACCTTCTTACACAGCAAAAATATATTAATTAATATTTAATAATTAATTTAATATGAATACATAGAGATACGACTTGAACGACTTGCGAGTTGCGACCAACAACAAAAGTTACGATGCACGATCATATTGATATAGGTATGTTGATCGATTGAACATGATTTAATACTGTTTATTGTTATTATTATTATTGTTGATCTGGAACTAGGTCAAGCGAGTTTGTCCTGACCCGCAGTAGTGATGGGCCGTCCACCGACTTAGGGGTTGTCACAAACGCCACGGGGTGCTCAAACCCCCTTCGACCAAAACAAATAAATTGGCGTTTTGTATATCAGTACAATAAATTATTGTATACCAATTAATTTATACTTACCATTAAACGGTCTTGTATTACACATAATATGATATAAAGCGAATTTAGGTAATAAGAACCAAGAAAAGGGTATAAATGATTTTTCCCTCGTGACAGTTCGTGGTTTGTTCGATAACAATATGTCTATTACTATATAAAGACTCTAAACCTTAGCCTTAGAATAATAACAATAGCATCCAATTATAACATGAGCATACAGTTTATTATTATTATTGGAAGTGACATAGATTCGGCTTAAGTAAACTTATAAATAATTCGAGCTAAACAAAGCAGAATAAATAGGTAGATAAATAAAAAAAAGTAACTAAAATCAAATATAAGAACAAAAAAAAAAACCATTACAATAAAATATACGACCAGTGAAAATAAATAACTAATTAACGAACACGAACCGAGTAACTAAATTTAGATTTGCATCTAGGGTGAGGGATGCGGTTTAAGAGTGATAAAGCGGTAAAACGAGCAATTTAAAATAATTATTGCGCTTCTAGCTTTTCCAACCGCGGGAACGTTTCCGGTACCTGCACTTTGGGGAGTTTTTCGATGGTAAATTTGGGTCTAGGTCAAACGTCTACGGCATGGAAAAGTGTTTGCAACTCGCCACGTTAGCTCAATCAGACTCATTCATGGCACATTTGAAAAGGTATACCGCCCATACATTCAGAATATATAGTGTTACTTAATAATAATAAAAAGGTTGATAATATTATTAAATACTTTTAGATTTAAAAACAATACAACACTCCAATACTATGCAGGCTATATATCGCTTGCATATCATTAGAGTCTATAATGTTCGATTGGAACCCGAGTCCTCCCTCTCGCCGCCCAAAATAAACAAATTCCGAGTACGTGTCCATAACATGTGCTTGGTGATGTGTTCAATTATATTCGCAGTCATTCGCGGGACTACTCTCGCCTGACCTATATATGAGAACGTTTTGCAGGGGCGACGACGACGGTGTTTGACCTACAACTTCAGATGTGGTGTATAACGCGGAAAACTCGTTTTCGCGACCACCCAAAGAAATCTATTGCTTTACACCCATGCAAACAGCACACTTCTCAGGATAGTTAAATTAGTTATATTATATAGGTACCGCTGCAGGGTTATTCTAAATGAATCATCCGATGCTTTGCACCTGGCTTTGTAGGTCACCCGCAGATCTTCCTTAACATTGGACTATCTTTATTTTCGCTATAAAGACACTGTTATCACTATTATCACAGTTATCATCGATTCATCAACCACTGCAGAATTGAGCCAATCACGGTCGCAAATATGCGTATTGTGGTATGCACTTGAGTTCTGACTATGGAGGTGTTGTTCCGAGGGAAATCGTAATTATAATATAATAACATCATAATAGTATAATAAAATATTATTTTTTTATTCAATGAACCATAAATATTATTATATTACTCTAAACTTAAAAAATTGAAATCGGATGGACCGTATTGAATAATCCAATTTAAATGTTAGTTGTTGACGTACAAATATCATTTTTATACAACAAACTAACAACTTTAGGATATTGTATAGGTACATATTTGCTTTATTGTAATATCGTGTCACTGATGAATCATAAATATTTATAGAATAATATTAGTTACTAACATGAAAAACATTTCATAAAACATTTTGTAAAACAATTAGGTATATAGAATAGTCGTGATTGATGTTAATTGGTAAATATAATGTCTTTTTCAGACCAAAATTCAACGTAGCATCAAAACATGTTTAGTAACTTTCATTGCACAATTCCCACTGTTGAAACTTCGCAGCTTTATTATTATTTATGATTTTGACTTGGCTATCACCGCATGAAATAATAATACTATATTTGATGTTCTAGGTAGCTATAAATATATACACAAATTATACTATTATCGTGATTACGTCTACTTCGTTGATATATTTTCAGATATACTTACCGACGAATAACATATTGAGTATTCGTTCTATATATTGATGTGCATTTCGCCCATTTTGGTGACGCGTTTGCGGTTACCTATACAAAAGTTTTGTTCGTCGGCTATGTATATAATATAATATATAGATGATAGATCCCCTCCGCTCGCTGCAGCTGTCGGTCCTATCGATTTATCATTGTCCGCTCACACCAATCGATCGCGTGATACACGCATTGTGTTTAAGTAAACGATTTAACGCCGCGATTTAGTCCGTTTCGAGTATTTTTATTTTTTGATCGATAGCCGTATCGCGGCGGCGTTTATACATCATTATAGGTTAGGAACCCACATAATATTCTTATATTATTGTAATACCGCATCGCACCGCAGCACCCGCAAAACTATGTGCCCACAACCCACTCGTCGTATGCAGCGCACGATGACACGTCGCATCGTTAAGGGCGTATAGGTACGTTTTCGCCACACTGCAACATAAATAAATATAACGATTGGGGTTTTGACACGTAAGCCGAAGATTCCGATCGATCCCGTATTTATGACAATATTATCCATTACTATGCCTACATCACAAGTGTGGGAGGGACGCGTCGCACTTATATGCCGCCACAGCCGATCCGACCTACATATGAAGCAGGTACCTAAACGCGCGATGGGAACGAAAGGCCGTTGCACAAAAGCGTACCTTTCTATGTACATATGTACTTAAGTACCCATCACGTGTGTCTGTTGCTGGTCGCAAAGAAATGCTGTACACGAAAACGATTAGGGAATGGGTGG